AGTTCCCAGATTACCAATAAACCCTTTAACAATGTGTTAGGGGGCTAATAATGTTTGTGTTTTTGGTGGATGTTGGTTGGTATCTATAAATCTTAGCAAAACATTTCAGACTCACCATTCTATCGCACAGTGCTGTGTGCAAATGTTAAGTGAATGAACACAAGAACACTTGATCTCATTGACAAATCCCAGTTTAAGTTATTTGTCATATAGACCTTAATCAGAGCTGGTATATCTATAAAGCTCAAATGTGATAGGTGACCCTTTTAAATCTTTTCAAGGTATAATCTCAGGTGCATGAAACAAAGATAAACAGTTCTATAATAGGGAAAAGTACCTGCACATGGATTGTAGGAAAAGCGCAGGTGTTACTAAAAACATTTCAAGTACTCAAGTGTACCAGTAAGCCATGGCTGTGTGGCATTGATCCAGCATTCACAACACAAGGACCCTGAGCTACTAGATGGAAGTCAGCCTTCATTCATTGTATTATTTGCACCTGATGTCAACATGTGTTAGGTGAATCAGGCTTATGGAGTACTGCCAATATGTGGTAATATTCACTTCCCAATGTAGAAGTTAATTCATTCCTAAAACTGCATTCCATTAATTGCTTGTAAAACTTTTTCCAGCAAAGTGCCAATTCATCACAGCCCTCTTTCTATTTTTTTTTATTTCCACAATGAACCGTAAAGAGACAGTAAACAATATTCCTCCCTGCTTTATGGAAGTGATCATATTTGAAAAACACATCCGCTGTGAAGGAGAGGTCTGCTCCTGTGAATGAAGTTCATTTATTTTTGATGTATCAGCTGCCAATAAAGCTTATTACTAAAAACAGATAAGGAATGGCGCTTCAACTGTACGATCAATTCAGTAACCGGGCAGCTCACCACTTGTTCCCGTCACACAGCGGAAGATGTAATGGGCAAGCAGTGTACAGCATACTTGATGCACAAAACACTTCAAAATACAGGCGCGATAATCTGATTTACAACTCCTGGGAAGGTCTGCTGATGCTGTGAGCATTACCGGTGTGTAAACTCTGGCCTGTACATTACATTTTTCTTCACTACTGGACAGTTCATAATGGAGACTGACAAGAAAGACAGAAGAGAACATTTATTCCCAAACCATCAACAAGTCAACACTGCACTTCATCACTTACCATGCACCACTGAACCTCCACTCTGTAAATATATACAGAGTATGCATGAGCGAAAAAGCACTCAGTTGGAAAGTAGAAACACAGACACCACATTTATTTAGACACTGTGGGGGATTATCTAAAGGATTAAACTACCAATTGGAGTCCTGCCCTTTTCATACATATTCAAGCTTTATTTTGGTCTGCGCTGAATCAAATCCCTGTGACTTTCTCTCTCAGCACCCGTCACAAAACACAATGAATCTTGCTTCCTGGGGACAGTCTGGTCAATATGAGGCTGGGCAGCCTTGATTTGTATGTCCTGCACCTCTGTCCTATTGGACTACTGGTCAATAGGCCTGTCTCCCCATTACCCCGGCGATTAATGTGGCGCGCTGCCAGACGCTACACTGGCATGAATCATGGGTGAGAGTTCAACTGCAAACAAGGACGCCTTCCACTGAATCTTATAGAAAAATGTAAGTTAGGATTAATGCCATCGGGAGCCTTGTTTTCAGTCTGTGATACACTGAGCAGAGCTGGTTTAATGTTGTTTTGTGTGAGATATTTATGTATCTGAATGACGACCATTCAATTGGAAATACACCATTTTGCTTTCTTTCAGGAGTTACATGAACAGCTCTAAACACACAATTTGAATCAAACGTGCAAACACTAGAACAGTGAGGTGCTTTTATGTTGTTTTATTTCTACTTCGTTAGATAATATCTGTATATAACATCCACACTTCACAAGAAAAGAAGGCTATACTACAAAGTTTGGGTTATTTTCAAGGTGGCTCTCTTTTAACCTGGCAGACTTAACCCAGAGTTTCAACCTCAAATCAGCTAAAAAGGACCTTTCACTAACTAATTCCTAAGGTTAGGCATTATATATATGCAAATTTGTTATATAACATTATTATAGCAAACAAAGCCATGCAGTTACAATACACAAAATAGTATGCATTGTGTTGTTGTTTTTTGCCACTTCAAACCTATTTTAAAGAGGGTATTGAACATTTGTTGTTTTAGTTGTGTTTATCTAAAAAACTAAAATAAAAAAAACAATTGCGTCCTCCCTGTATTTTCAACACAACAATCTATCAGAAAAAAGTCAGTTTTGTTTTTATTTGCAAGGTCTTATTATATATCTTACTGAACTAATGAATGAATATGGTCATAGTGCTTTGTGACCAATTTTCTTACACTGGCTCTAAAAACAAGCGCTCTATAAAATCACAGCAGCATACATTAATAGTGCTCTAAAGCCTATTATTAATCAGTTCGACGTTTACTTGCATATTAAATGCGGTATTATTCCGACCAGTGTTGCCATTTTGGATGATGTATTTATGCTTGGTTGTAAGTCCAGTTATACTGCTGCTTTATTGCACCAATAGAAAACCAATTACAAAATGGGTATTTTAGTAGGGGATTTATCATAAAAAAGATTCAATCACAAAAAATCTGCAAGACTGCAAGTATTTTGAGTCAAGCCTTGCCACAGAGTTGTGAAAGTAAGGTCCTATTTTTTGTGAATTACAGGAAAGTCTTATGTGAGTCCAAGTCTCCAGTCTCAGGCTGACACCAACATGGCTCCACTGATAACAAATCAGAAACTAATTAACTTTATAATTAGGTAGGTACGTTTCCATTTAAGTGACATATGCCCATTTTCCTGAAAATTCACTCGGGTTCATTGTGTCCTCAGCTATGGTCTTCATGATTCTTCAACAGAAATGTGTCATTCATGTCCATGAATAGAAGCACATTTTTATATAGTGGGTAGCTAAACCAAACTCTGCCATGCAGTTGGGCTCCACATTCATCCCCCACTGCTTCATTTTTAACAGCTGGTCAAGGTTGATAGCGAATAATATGCACTCTCCATTGATTTGCAAAGTTTTGCGGGGAGAAAATAACTATTTTCTGGCAAGTTCTGTCAGGAGGGGGAGTGAATGAGCTAATATGCAGCAGCGAGGCAGCCAAATCCAAACTTTCTCTGGGATTTTAGTGAGTCAGCCAGTTGGTTACCGCTCTGGAAAACTAGTTAGGATGCTTTTAGGGAGAGCAGAGGGGGAAAGTTGACTCCAATCACAAAGGACCAAGCATTTTTGCAGTTATACCATATTGTTCCAGACATGATTGAATGTAATGTGAAGTCATTACATTTGTGTGAAATTGGTCTCTACTTTGTCCCAATTAATGCCAAAAAGAATACAATTCCAACCAAAAATGTAATTTTCTTGACATTCATTCACCTTGGAAAACAACGAAACACTATGCGAATGACACTGAGACATTATCATGTTCACTTTTCCAGATTCTATCAGCAAATTGTGGATATTGGCGCTTGCAGTGGGACAACGAGCAGCTTGTCCAGATTGAGCTTTGCCTGGCGATTGTGGTTCAGTGGCATCAATCACATCTCTGGGGCTTTTTTTTCTTCTGGCAGAGACGTGCCTCTTCTCCTCTGACTGGCAACAGCAGTCTCCCCCTATGTAGAGACATGCCAGAGATTTCTAAAGAGGTGCTGTTCTTTCAATCCATCATCTCGTCAGAGCCAACATAACACCTTTTCATTAGTGCAGAGTGCTTCAGAGGAGAGGCATCACTACTACTAGGCAAATAAGCAGGGGGCCGGGGGCTAACAACAGTACGTTTCATTCCAGGCAAAAGTGGTAATGACATGTGAATGAGTTTATTGATCCGAAGCTTTTATTTGCCTTTAAGGAACGATAAGAGCGGCTCAGAAGCATGCAGCCTTTCATTCACTATTTTGCCTGGCTTTCTTGCAGATAGTCGACTTAAAAAACCTTGGGAGGAGCATTGGCTGTACAATTCATAAAAATCATTACACTTGCAGCTACTGTATATATATAAATAAATATATGGGATGTAGGATGTCTGCGTTAATGGAAACTGGAATAAGTAACGGCAAAGCACAGCATCATTAAGTATAAATATATATATCTTCAGGGTTTAATTGAATTAATATATTTCATGTTCTCTTGATGAATCAACCTTTTATCTCTTTAAGAAGAAAAATGGTACTTCCAAAGTGTACGTGTCAAAACTTGTGCCACACTAGAATTTATGTCTGACCTAAAAATGATTAATATTGCCACCATAACAGAATCATTCTCCATGACTGATTTATGTAATTTTCCCTACTGTCATTTAAATTATCAGGGGAAGTGCTAAAATCGACCTCTAGCCTCAATTGATATTTCCGCCTTTTAAATTCGGCTGGTCCGTAAATGCAGCCTTTGCACTTTATTGGCTTCATTCGTTTTATCCTGCTAAACACACAACTCTAATCCCATCAAAGGCAGGGAATATTCCAGAAAGGGCATTAGTGGGGGCTTAGGAAGCGCAGAATGGAGCATTAGTATTCATGGAATTTCCTGGGACAGAATCTTTTTTTAGTTTTAGGGAAATTATCTTGGGAAACTCTGATGAAGCCAAAATGTGGAAATAAAAAGGGTGATAAAGTGTGGGAGTCAACAAGCCGTAAGCTCAATAGTTTTTCCCTGTGTGATTTGTTGGATATTCTACAATAAAAACGTGTGTAACCTTCTACAAATGGTCATCTACCTTGTTTGCAAGTTTGTATGCTTAAAGAAGGCATTGTTTGCTGTATTAACACAAATATGCTGCACTCGTCCATAAAATGAAAGACGGACAGAAAATATCCAGCGCCTCTTTCTGGGATCCTCAAAAGCTATGTGGATGTACTTCCTAGTGAAATTAAAAAGCTTTCAAGAGCATAGAAAATGTACCATTCAAGAAGTTAAAGACCATAAGTGACTTTATTATCAAGAAATCCTTTGACCAAATAAATTATCAAAAGACAGAGAGAGTACAATATTGTTAAAGACTACACATCACAGATCATTTTAAGGCTAAAGTATAAAGACTTCTGGTCTGAGAATAACTTTGAACAAAGGACAAAATCCCCTACATGTAAATGAGTGAGGTTCTTCCTGCAACGAGCAATAACAGGCTGAACAAATGTCATGGTAATAACCTTATTATGATATCTGCCTTAAAGGCCATAGGAACCACACGATCAATAGGTATGCTTTAGCCGTTAGTTATATGAGCCCAAAGTAGATTATTGGCATTTAGAGTGGCAATAAAATGGATGCTAAGGCTAAGTGAGAAACACGTCCTTGGGGGTGTTCATTAAATGCCACGGTCATTTTACATTTCAAATCTGTGTGTAAGTGGGAATTTGAGCCTGTGGGAGAGGTCCCCATAATCAGTAGAGTTCTTTGATCGGGGACCAATCATATTGGATATAAAATGATGTTAGCATTTAGTTTAAAGAGAACTTTGCCTAAGTAAAGCATAACCTTTCCATTCACCTGCTTTATACATCATTAACATGGATTAATATAATCCAATGATCTATCTATGTTTATAAAACAAAGCTTTGCTGTGTAGATTTCTTTAGAGTTTTTTTGTTGGATTGATAACAATGATTGATTATTAAATAAGTAATGGTTGTTGAAATAAAGCAGAACATATTATTTTAGTGGACATTTATTGTAGTTACTGTTGTTAACAAATGCTGATTAACACACATTCGGTATACTCTGAATTAATTTAGATGTTTTCTTTTTTTACTGTGATTAATTACAGACATATCTCCCAGCATGAGTGACATTTTGACAGAATCATTTCTGTCATTCATTGAGAGTGACTTAATGATGACTGCCATCAGAAGCTAATGAGCCAAAGAGATCATTTGGGTAATTATTCGCTCTGTAATCTTTGAGCAATGATAATGTTCTCGCAGTGAGACATTTATAAAGTCAATAAGATCGATCAAAGAGCTAATTTAGATTCATTTTTAATACGAAAGGCATACAATTATCTGTGGATCCTCAAAATATTCAATTTGTAGAATATGGTTCAAATGTTAATTAAAGATATGATCATTCAAAAACATATGACACTTGTCCTACAAAAGTACTCATTAGATTAGGCTGTTTAATTATTTTTCCATCCGAATATCTTTTAAAAAGGTCATTTGTTAATTGATTTACATTATGTAGATATTATCTTATGGCAACAATGTCATTTGTGGTGAGTAAAACTAATAACTGAACGGGTCCGCTGCTCTTATGTCTCTGAAAGTAATACCAGTTGAATTAAACCCTCCATATTTTGGTTTCATTGACTGGGGATGCATCATATATTTATTCATGAAATTATACAGAGACCGCAACACAACCACGAGTGCCCTAAAAGAGATTACCATCCAACTCCAGGCTGATATCTAGACGCGCTAATTAAACTGTGAGTGCTGTCGCTAGGTGACAGTGATGATTTCTTGCTGAGCCCGGGGACTATCCACGGACACTGGTTTGGCAAATCATTTTGGGCTGTTTTATTTTTAATCCCTGTGCTGCAACACTTGCTGATTTTGAGATATTGCTTCACAATCGAGTGATTTTTGAGCGGGAGATCTATTTAAACCAAAAAACACTTTCTGCTTCCCCTGAGATGTAACCCCCCCCTCTCTCATACCGAATCAATACACACCAAAATGAATCCCGGTTATAGAGGCAGACGTGTGTGTAAGAATGAAAAGGTGCAGGCGGTGCGGCAGATGGGATTGTTTCATACACTGCTGATTCACCGTAATGGGAACAGGGAACATCCACAGCTTGTATCCTGATGTATGCTCATCACAACTCAAACCGACAGGACAGGAAAGGCCTAAAAGTTAACCCAATTCTGAAAATAACGGAAGAATATTAGTACAATCCCTTATGATTAGGATGTTCCCATTTATAATGCTACAACACGCTGTTTGCTACGGTCTTGCATCGGTGAACCCATTTAGGACTGGTCTCAACATGTTTAGGTGCTCAAAATGATGCAAGGTAAATAAGGTTATAAGCAAGAAGAGGCTGGAGACACGTTTGTCAGGAAAGGGAGTGCCTGGGCTGATGTCCCCTCTAATCACGAAACTGTCCGAAATGATTTAAAGTGGGTGCAGACGAACGGGTCCGCTGCTCTTATTTCTCTGACTATACGGTATATCAGCCCTAGTGAGGTGAAATGTAATAGTATTAAAAAGTGACACATCACTGTGTGTTGCTGAGCGCAGAAAGTGTGTGTTTTTGGTGTCAGGGGACATTGCTGCATATGCTATTTGTGAGATTTGTATGGGGATAAATAAATATAAATGTGTGCACCAGTGTTGTTCCTGTAGGAGCACGATTAAAAAAAAAAAAAAACGTTTTATTTTATCTTAAATGTTGGCATCTTGGCCGTTGTCACCTACAACAGAGGGCAGCAGGTTGGAGATAAGAACAACCAAACGCTGATACAAAATTATTTTAGGCTGCAAAAATGTTACAATTAATTTTCATTAACTGAAATCTCACTTTTTAGTGTGAACCGTCAAGTTCTAACATAAAACTTAAACAGTACTTTTGGCTTAGCAAATTGTCAATCTGAAGTCAAGCACATTAAGTATTCGCAGCTTTATTGTTTACTCTAAATCAGGGATGGGCAACTTTGATGGTAGTGGGGGACACATCATTGATGTACTGGCCACCAGGGGGCCGCAGATTCACTTGGAACACACACACACAAAAATTCCATGTGTTGTATGTAATTATTAACAAATAAGTCTGACATCTTCATTGACATTTTAAAATCAAAGGGAACATCCCCAAAAAATGGGAACATCCTCTAATAAGCTC